CTGAAGGGAACTGGACTCAGGTATCACCGTGGGATTGTTGATGCAAGTCAGATCCCAGAAATTGAATAAGTCCCTGAATATGGATTTATTTGGTCTCGAAATCATCTTTCGTCTTTTAAACAATAGAATCAACGTGAGGAATGGTCCTCACGTCACACGTTAATAATAAATTTTTCTGCGTCCATCAATATAAGGGTTTTTAAGATCATAGAAAACTTAGGTTAACCAGGCTGACCTGAAGGTCGGCCCAAGCAAGAACAAAGACTAGCCTAAGTTCTATCGAGCCGTGGATGATGACACCGGTCTGATTATCGTTGATCCGATTGATCGGCCCAATGATGACAGTCGAGTCTCATTATCTGTATGCCAAAATATTAATCACATTTGTTTTTTATTGAAATTTATCCTATTATCAATCTTTTCATGGTGATTGAAAGAAACTAGTAATGAAAAGAACAAGAGAGTGGACTATAAATGTGGGGATATGATTCGCTATCGATGCACTCATTAAATTAATTAACAAAAAGTGAAAAAAAAACTTTACCCATTTTCATGATTTATTAGTTGTCTCTCACCACGGCGGCGATGATCTCAATTCTCAAGAAATCTAATTGCCGAACTCCAATTCCTATGCCCTAACCACTAACCTAATACCTAAGTCTTATAGCAAGAACATAAAAACGCCTTTATAAATTCCCGTCAGTTGTTTTTGCGCATTTCTATCCTTTGATTGATAAACTATTGATCATCAGTAGATTACCGAGGATTGTGGCATGCTTGGCGGATCGATTAATGATAACCAAACGCACTGAGAAATTCAATCAAAATTACCGAACCCTGAATTGTCTGAATGATTATGGGGGTGACTCGTGAAATTCAAGTGGTATGTCAATTTTTATAGAAAATTCAGATAAAAATGTAAGAGCACCGGGAACAAATGGTGTAACCGTTGCGTAAAATTTCCGCTCCAGACTCACAGAAATCATGCAATATTTTTATTGAATATTTATCCCGATGTGGTATCGTATGTCAACGATAGTCAACATGCTGGACCAATGACACTTCATTGAAAGTCGATCGATCTATTAACAGCCAGTAAGTTGACCAGCGATCATGTTAATTGACCGTTGAAGATTTTTGATCATTATGAATTGCAGAAATGATCAAGCATCTTGCCGTACTCGTGTCGAAATATGCTATTGCTATGTACTAAAATGAAATTTAGTAAGAAAAATGAACTAGTTGGTATTTTATTATGATTAACTGATGACATATTTTTGGTGTTCAATCTTTTTCAGATACGGAACTATAATTTCTACAAAGGCGATTCTGGACAAAAATACAAATAAATGTAGAGGTACTTGGTTGGATTATCACACTTTTAAGTTTTTCTCGTTTAACCCCAATTTCTCCCTTCATTGTTTCATTATTTCTACTTGTATACTTGATACATCAATCTGTTAAATGCGTTATGTGGATTTGAGTTTCTTCTCACATTCCTCATTGTATTACGTTGTATTTCTTTATACCCTCTTTACTATACGTGCGTGTTATGCATCATCTACATGACGGTTGTCAGTGCGAGAAGCGTCGTCGAGAAGCGGCCTGCAACATGCACAATGACATGATGAAAAATCTTGTACGAAACTCATGCGGGACCGTTGCTGACAACGCACTTGGGCGCTACGTGCCTTCGTGAGTTATAAGCATTGGGACTATTTACACCATGACTTTAACTCGCCCCAACTTCAATTGAACTTTGCCACTAACTTGTTCCACCGATATTTCAAAATTTCAACCCAACTACACATAAAGCTAGACATAGTTGGCGCGATTTGTCGTCCCGATGTAAATAGTTCCATTGAAAAAAGAATATCAGGAAGGAGCATTTACATCAGAAGCTGAATCAGCAGTCCTCATACCATACCGTACATTCAAGTATTACAATTTAATCGTTGTACATACCTGTATTGAATGCACACATGTTATAACATTTGAATTTCTTTGACATCGCGCCACTTGATTATTCTATCGACAATTTACCGGAGCTGATGCTTCTTCCTAATTATTTTTATTCAATCGTTGCAAGCGGCTTCCCACACATGTATCCCAAATAGTTATCACGTATCAATTAATCTTCTGCTTTTCATTTTTTTTTGAATATTTCACTTCCTCTTCTTACTAAGATTTCAATAAGTCATATTCAATTCAATTAAGTTCTGCAATTGTTAATTTGGGTATTTTACTGTAAAGATCTGGAATAATAGTTGAATTTGATAATCATATCATAACAAATCAGTAGAAAATACTTTGTAAAATAAATTTCTGAGGAAGTAAAATGTTCAGAAAAATAATGGCAAGACATCTGTGTACAGAGTTTTAATAGCTGTGCATAAATATCTCGATATTCGTTAGTAAATTCATAGGGAAGTCTGGGCTAATATGAACTCGTTTTTTTATTGATATTGGTGTAGTAGCAAATTTCAAGTCATAAAAAATCGTTTCGAAAAAATCATTTTTTCCAGTACTTAAAGAAGTCATAAATTTAGCGTAGAAACGATCGTTCAAGCACAGCCAATTGATAAAAACAATACTATTAATCATCTTTTTCCATTATTTAATAAAAAAAATTTCTATTGTTATTCTAGCATAAAAAAATTTTTTTAATTAAGAATGGAACAATTTTAAATGCGTCTCCGTTCTATCCCAGGCCTCCCTATGTTTTAGGGATAATGAGAAATTATGAAAGTGATGAAGGCATTCTTTGTTTTCCATGTTTTGTGTTCAAAGTGAACTATACTTCAAATATCAACTTTGAAATCAGTTTTTCATTTTCATTTTCAGCTCTTTTTTACTCTTTTTTTCTGTATTGACAGAAGTCATTAATTATTGACCATTGATACTGACAACTTACAATGATTTCATATCGGATTATTCAAGGGTTAGATGTCATGGGTATTGAAAATCCTTAAAGAATCATCTCTTTGAAAAGGGCGGGCCGAGTGATATAAATTCATGTTTTTCCAACTTCGGCTCCAATCAACCAACTGCAATTTTCGAAATAACTTTTCCCCAGACCCATCCTGAGCAAGGGTTGGATCAGCGCTCAAAATTAAGAAGTTATCAACTCAATATGCATTTTAATATTATATTAAGAATTAGAAAAACATTCAGGGATGTTAATGCACCCATAGGCCATGAGGAAAAAATCAATCAATTTAGTGACGTAAAAATTATGCAAAGTTGACGTTGAGAGGCCACGTAACATTACCATAGGA